TTTTTTCAAAAATTTATGGTATAGTTAGCCTAAATCTCGATTTCCCTATATATCTCAAGGTTTAAGCTCAGTCCGCAGCAACCAAGTACGCCTACAATGGACTCATCATCGTCCACCTCGAGATATCGAATTTGAACTATGAACATTTGGTCTTTATTATTAAATTTTTGCTTGGTCACGAGATGGCACTTACCTCGTTCCATAGTCCAAATCCGGTTGAACACAATTTGCTGTGCCAGGGTATAGCCCCTCCAATCAGCATAACTCCGCCACCAGGTATTCTCTCACGGTAACTACCTTCTCGTTGCTGTGGGAGGGTATGTCCCCTCCAAGCAGCCGAGCTTCACCGTGAGGATTCCCTCATGGTACCTACCTTCTAAACCAACCCATCGAAGAGTTACTTATCAAGAGTTATCAAGAGAGTTATCAAGAGTTATCAAGAGAGTTATCAAGAGTTATAACTTGGGCAGAACAAACTATACTAACATGGGGTTGATTAGTATGCCTAACAACCCCGAGCTTCTACTTTCTGACACTATCCACCTCGGGCCTAAGACTGACTTACTATAAGCACAACTTATTGAGTCACGCTTATGCTTAACGTCACGGTATAGCCACGACGGTACCTACCTTATGAGCTGTCCGATGTCCAACATCCACTGGTAGTGTCCAAATGAACCTGCTTATATAGGACCTTCCAGTGGAAGAGCGTGTAGGGGCGATTTAGGCTCGGCAGCCCAGTTGTGTTGCCTCACGACCTTTGCCCTAACAGCTGATAAGCTCAGCCGCTACCTCAATGTTTACTTCTTACTCTGTATTTCTGTCTCTCTTTCTAAGACTGATGGGATTGCCACTCAAACAATTCAACTAAACTTCCATTGATATGTACCAATAATACCAGAATAATTTGAATAAATAATAATCCTAATTCTAACTAAACAATTGGGTTTATGGCCTTAGGAATAATTAAAGACAAGAAACAAAATAAAACGTTTATTCTAAAAAAAAAAAAATAAAAACTAACTTCTTTACAAAAATAAATATCTCCTCTTATAAACAAAATAAACTGAAAGGGAAAAATACCCCTTAAAATATGGTGTACAATGTTGTTCAAAGGTTTATTGTGGACATTTTCCATCATGATGGTAAGGAACAATGTACAACTTTTTGAGATCTGGAATCTGATCCCGTCCTCAGGTGAAAAAAACTGTACTAACACATTAGCCACAGTGGTCTGAACTCAACCGTTGTCTCCGTGTTTCGGATTGGTCGACCATGATGCTTCAGTCTCATTGGTGGAGTCATTGCGAACTGTGCGATTAGTATTCCATTGTGCGAGCTGTTTACTCTACACATTTTATAGACTATAACGTTTTGTGATTGGTTATTATTTACATGTTATTGTATCATGACTTGACTGCTATACAGTGGATATTTTTTGACTGCAGTGTTTTGACTGTAGTGTATTCCAACTTAGGTCTGGCGTTTGTGTATTGTTAGGTGTAATGTGTTAGTTAAGTTTTTCACCTGAGGACGGCAGATCATATTCCAGATCCCGAAACATGTGTATTGTTTTTTACCATCGTGATGGAAAATGTCCGCAATAAACCTTTGAACAACATTAACTCACCATCACCAACAATGAACTTCAAGGAATGGTGTACAACTTTAGCGATACAAGGGTGCTTGCAGTGGGGAATATAAATCACATTATCTTAAATTTTTACTTGTCTTAAAGGTTCGGAAATGACCCTAAAATGCAAAAAAATTTTATTTTAAACCATTAAAATGATAGGTGAGATATTTTTAACATTAGGTATAAGGAACATTCCCTTTAGAAAGGAATTACGACCTTAAAGGGCAATTTATGAAATAATGGATGGTTTTGCGCAAGGATTTTTGTCATGGCAAACATTTTAAGTATATGGTTCATGGGGGTGTGACTTTAAGTTTTCTCAAAAGTTCATGGGTACTTTAGGATCTATATATGGATACAACACACTTTGTAAAAGCCAGTTTTCTTTTCATAAATTGATTGTGATGAGGGCAAATAATTACTTTAAGGTGTAAAGCAAAATTAGTGATTTTATTTTAACCATGTAAGTCGCATTACAAATAATGTGGTGAAATATTGAAAGACTTGTATTGACTTGTACTGAAGTACTGAAGAAGACTTGTGCTGAAAATCAGGAAAATTTTACGTGTTCAGGTCACTTAATTCAATTTTGTGCACTAATATAGGGTGCGACAAAAAACCGATCTATTTTTTGCAGCCCATTATTCATCGACAGGTCGTCAGAGGGTGGTGGCTCGTTGGAAAGCCTGTACGATGCCATTATCTGTAGTCATAGAGCAGTGGTCATCTGAGCAACACACGTTTGTTATCGAGTCTTTAAAAAAAGTAATGATTCAGTCATTGAAACTCAGCAGCATTTCCATCCATTCTTTAAATTAGGTTGACATGGAGAGGTTATGGTGTGATTATCTGTATGAATAATCAAAAAAATTGAACAGAATAATAAACATTAATCTGTAGGGACAAGAATTAAGATCAAACCTCAAAATTAGTGTAACTGAGCAGTCAGACATATTCAAAGCAGATGTTTGTTTTCAAGCAGGCCCACGAGGACTGTTTTCCACAGCAGCACGGACTCTATCAAATGTTAGTTGTCTGACACCCCATCTGACTTTAGATGGCTTGTCAGTTTCTTTTTGAATGCAGAAGCCATTGTTCTAAAGTTGGTAAACCACCACATGATTGTACCACTTATTGGAATTAACGTTGCCCTAATTTAAAAATAATATGCCTAACTGCCGCTTGCAATGACGGAATCATAACTTATTACATTTGGCCCGCTAACAAATGCACGATGCTCAGGTGACCACCGCTCTATGACCACAGATAAAGTCATCGTGTAGGCATTCCAATGAGCCTAAAACCACCACTCTAAGACGACCTGTTAATGATCCGTTAATGTGACCGTGTTTTCGGTGGAGTGTACGGAATATCTCAATCGGTGCCCAAAATAAGTCAGCCTGCACGGGTTTCCGAACTTCCAGGGGTCAAGCGAGGTCTTTACCTAAACACGGTCGCAATGGTTTCCAAAACGATGAAGCGACGAGCTAGAGTCGAGGGGTCGTGCCTCAATCGCTAGTAACGAATAACGGCGAATACGGTCGGTCAAGTGACCCGGGGTGTCAGGGTAGCGGCCCTGGTTCCCAAAACGATGAAATGACGAGCTAGTGTCGAGGGGTCGTGCCTCGACCGCTAGTAACGAATAACGGCGAATACGGTCGGTCAAGTGACCCGGGGTGGCAGGGTAACGGCCCTGGTTCCCAAAACGAAGAAACGAGGAACGGCGAATACGGTCGGTCAAGTGACCCGGGGTGTCAGGGTAACGGCCCTGGTTCCCAAAACGAAGAATCGAAGAACGGCGAATACGGTCGGTCAAGTGACCCGGGGTGTCAGGGTAACGGCCCTGGTTCCCAAAACGAAGAATCGAAGAACGGCGAATACGGTCGGTCAAGTGACCCGGGGTGTCAGGGTAGCGGCCCTGGTTCCCAAAACGAAGAAACGAGGAACGGCGAATACGGTCGGTCAAGTGACCCGGGGTGTCAGGGTAGTGGCCCTGGTTCCCAAAACGATGAAACAGCGAGCTAGCGTCGAGGGATCGTACCTAGATCGCTAGTAACGAAGAACGGCAAATACGGTCGGTCAAGTGACCCGGGGTGTCAGGGTAACGGCCCTGGTTCCCAAAACTATGAAAGTCGACCAAGTAACTCGGGGTGTCAGAGTATCGGCCCTGGTTCCCAAAACGATGAAGCGACGAAAAACGTATACGGTCGGTCAAGTGACCCGGGGTGGCAGGGTAACGGCCCTGGTTCCCAAAACTATGAAAGTCGATCAAGTAACTCGGGGTGTCAGAGTATCGGCCCTGGTTCCCAAAACGATGAAGCGACGAATAACGTATACGGTCGGTCAAGCGACCCGGGGGTGGCAGGGTAACGGCCCTGGTTCCCAAAACTATGAAAGTCGATCAAGTAACTCGGGGTGTCAGGGTAGCGACCCTGGTTCCCAAAACTATGAAAGTCGATCAAGTAACTCGGGGTGTCAGGGTAGCGACCCTGGTTCCCAAAACTATGAAAGTTGATCAAGTAACTCGGGGTGTCAGGGTAGCGACCCTGGTTCCCAATACGATTAAAGCTGACTAAGCGACGCTGGGTGTCAGGGGAGCGACCCTGGTTCCCAATACGATTAAAGCTTAAAGGGCTAACCTCTAGTGATAGTGGCTCTATGACTAGCTACAAATAAAATCGATGAAGTGACCCTGGGTGTCAGAGGAGCGACCCTGGTTCTCAGAATAACTTAAAACTGCAAATAACCTCTATGCAAAACTAAAATGCAAACAAAAGTATACTCTCCTATTAATTAACGAAAACGAAATAATCCTTAAAGCAACGATCGAATGTCGCCGTCCAAACCAAGGTATGAGCGGTAAAGCGTAGCTACAGTGTTACTAACGTCTAACTAAAAGGTATACTGCACTCACCGGGGAGGATGTGACTAACTCGGCTGGTAGCTGGGACGAGACTGAGCAACTGAGCTCTCCGTTGCCGCTCGCTCTTGCCTTCCCCCACCCCGCTCGTGGCCCGACACTAGCGCCTGGCGCGGCAGCGGCCGTTCCGAGAATCTTCCGGGATGAGGAGGGGTCAACGTTTGCTCAGCCCAGTACTTTTCCACTCCGTTCATTACTACTTTCATTATCCAAAACAAATAAAACGATCTTCTCTCCTTGTTTAATACGCATTTATTTTGTATAAGGTCAAAATTTTGAGGTGTCAATTTTTGACCGTTACAAGTGTGCTACATAAAAAAGATCGGTTTTTTTTACGCATCCTGTATAGTTTTAGAATTTTCATCAACTAGTAGGGCTTGTTAAAATACTGTGTAATCATTATTTCACCTAAATTATGTGTTAATATAGTATGATCTTTTTCAGAAGTATCGATAGATGAGCCCAGTATTCATGTAACTGCAAGACATTTAACAAGTCCTACAAAAAAAGGAAATTCAAAAATAGAGGTACTAGGCTTATTGATTAGTTGACCCTTCTGATTATCATGGCATAAGATTATCTAAAAAGTTTCACAAGAACATAAAGTGAAAGGTTACAAATGTTAAAACAGACTGAAAAGGCTAAGTGTCCAATATGTGGAAAAGTTATTTCAGGTCCAAGAAATATGAAGTATCATATATTTTGTCACACGGGCGAGCGGCCCTTTAAATGTTTGACATGTGACAAAACATTCTTCTACCAATATCAAGTAAAGAGTCATGTGTTGACACACTCAGAAAAGTGTCCTTATAAGTGCAGTTTATGTGGAAAAGGCTTTACATCCAAAATAAATTTAAGGTCACATACATTGTTTATTCATACAGAAAGGAACCGATATAAGTGCACAACATGTGGAAAGTCATTTGTATTCAAATGCAATTTGAAGTCACATACACGGGTTCATACAGAAGAAAGACCTTATAAGTGCACTATATGTGGAATAACCTTTGTATACAAAAGATATTTGAATTCACATACACGGGTCCATACAGGAAAAAGACCTAGACCTTATGAGTGCACTACATGTGGAAAATCCTTTTTATGCAAAAGCCATTTGGAGTCGCATACAAAGGTTCATACAGGAGAGAGACCTTATAAGTGCACTACTTGTGGAAAAGCCTTTTCATTCCCAGGCAATTTGAGAGCACATACACGGGTCCATTCAGAAGAGAGACCTTATAAGTGCACTACATGTGGAAAATCCTTTTCATACCCAGGCAATTTGAGGTCACATACACGGGTCCATTCAGAAGAGAGACCTTATATATGCACTACGTGTGGAAAGTCCTTTCCATCCAAAAGCCATTTGAAGAGACACACACAAGTCCATACAGGAGTGAGACCTTATAAGTGCACTAAATGTGAAAAATCCTTTACAACCAGAAGAAATTTGAATTGTCATACTCGAGTCCATACAGGAGAGGGACCTTATGAGTGCACTAAATGTGAAAAATTCTTTGTACACAAACACAATTTGAAGACACATACTCGGGTTCATGAAAAAGAGAAATGTCATATTTGCACTACATGTGGAAAGTCATTTCATCACAAAATAGGTTTGAACTCACATATACTGACTCATACAGGAGATAAACCTCATAAGTGTTCTAATTGTGGAATGTCCTTTTCACTCCAAAGCAATTTGATACGACATACACAAGACGTCCATACAGGAGAAAGATCTTTTATATGCGGTAAATGTGGAAAATCCTTTACATCCAAAGCCAATTTGAAGTCCCATACATGGGTCCACATAAAAGAGAAACCTTATAAATGCAATACATGTGGAAAATCCTTTGCATCAAAAAGCATTTTGACGAAACATACACGGGTTCATACATGAATGAAACCTTGCAAGAGCAAACTATGTGTGAGAAATCTTAAACATCATAAAGAAATTATAACAGACATTGTTTTAATTCATAGCAATAAACTTTGTTACAATTGTGGAAAATCTTTTCCTTTCAAAATATACAAAATGAATCCCAAAACTTTATTTAAGATTATACTTTTCAGTTGCGTGACCAAATCCAAATTCTATTCATATCTCTTATATTAATACGTGAGGGCTGTTTTTGTGAACAAAACTCCTCAGTTATTTCTGGACCGATTTTACCGTTTGAGGTGTCAAATAATTCGTCTCACTTTGGCTAACAATTGTCGTTTTATTTCTGGTGGAGTGGGCCTCAAATTATCATCCAGCCGAGGGCCTCCAATCGAGCCAGACCGGGCCTGACAACCTACACTGATCGTCCGTAATGACGTCATCAAAATGGCGGCCGTAAGAGGATGATGGGTCCGCATGAATTGGCTATAGCGACCGAATGCCTGAACCGATTTTCATGAAATTTGGCACACAAGTGCTTGAATACATTATCTTGGCCTGGGTTGAAAATGGTCAAGTTTCATCAAGTCATTTCAAAATGGCGGCTATTCAAAACTAAAAAAATATGTGGAAAATAATTGTGAATTGTTTTATACAGGGTGAGTTTTTAATGAGTTCCCACCTACTTTTTTATACATTTCTTAAGATATCAACTCCGAACCACGTCAGATCATTGTAGAGTAGCAAGTACTTCATTTTGACTGGGTTTAAATTTTTGGCCGCCATCTTGGATCCGCCAATTGGATACAAAGTTATTTTTCAAATATAAAGATAGGGTTGTGACCCACCGTTTCAAACAAAACTTTTACGCTGAATACGATGCTGCAATCCGTTTTATAAAATGTTGATCCATTCTAAAGTTATAAGAACATTTTATAACTTTATTTTTAGTCCATTATAACATTGTGCATTTACAAACTAAGGCCATAATCTCAAAATAGTGCTAGATAAAGATATGTGGACACCACCATTCATTGTTGACTTATTTTCACTTGGTTATGACGGATGTATTTTTTTCAGCCGCCATCTTGGATCCGCCATTTTGAAATGACTGGATGAAACTTGACCATTTTCAACCCAGGCCGAGATATTGTATTCAAGCACTTGTGTGCCAAATTTCATGAAAATCGGTTCAGGCATTCGGTCGCTATAGCCAATTCATGGGGACCCAGCATCCTCTTGTGGCCGCCATTTTTATGACGTCATTACGGACGACCCAGGTCCTTAAAAATTGGGGTCTGGGCGGTTTTAGGTTCAGAAACTTGTGTACCATAACCACCTAAAATTACACCCTCTCCGCCAGAACTGAAATATTTCCCTGCTACCCAACCTGACTATAATATTTTTTGTGTGGCAGACAGTTAGGTCTCATCAAAGGGCTAAGTTCTAAGGAGTGTAAGATCTCCGGCTAGGAGATCAATAGTTTAAATCCTGTCGTTGTCAGGCCTCGCTTTAAGGTTTAATGGAAATTTACTTAGAAACTTAGATCCCATTATTTGTGTTGCTTTTTTGAGGTAAAACACAGGTTTTTGGGGATATTCCTAGTTAATGATTTTTATTACTTTTATAATATGAATTTAAATTTTCTTTACACCTATCATCAGTATATTGTGAGGGATTTTTACAATAAATTTTTATTTATACAAATTTCACGTATACAAGATACAAGAACTTTATTGTTAGTAAAATACATAATGTGGTACATTAGTATCTCCTAACTCGTCAATTAATCCTAAACATAAACATAATTTAACACAATTTAACTTCTTCACCTTAACATATTCTAACATTCTATAATTAGTATATTAAATTCATCTTCAGTCACTAGCCAAAACTCATCTATTGTGAACAAACAGAGCTTAATTAAAACTTTCTTCAACTTCTTTTTAAATATATTAAGAGGGAAATTCTGAAATTGATTTGGTAGATGGTTCCAAAGTCGTTTTCAAAGTTTTAATAGAACATACCTTACCAAATCTTCTTAATATAAAAACTGACCTTGATAATTTTGTACTAAGGAAATTTACATGATCATTCCAGTTCAGTGAACTGTTTACCATGAGACCCAAGAATTTAGTTTGTGGAACAATATCTATGACCTGATCTTCTTCCACAAAAATTTTAGGGTCAAAACTGAACATTGTGGTTGAAGAATTCAAAAAAGCTGTCTTATCTATATTTACTGATAAACGATTTTCATTAAAATATTGGATTATGCCAGTTGTAAATACATTTGTAGAGATTTCCAAAGTATTTAAGTTTGAATGATTTAAAATTAAAGAAGTGTCATCTGCGTATGTTATAATTTTGCCAGTGGCGTCACTATTTATGTCATTAACGTAAATTATAAATAATTGAGGCCCCAGGACTGAACCCTGAGGAACCCCAAGTTTCACCTCTATGTGGTTAGAAAAGAAATCTTTATCGTTATGTTTGATTGAAACAAACTGTTCTATTTAGCATGTAGGACTTTACTAACTCAAGCGCGGAGCCTCTAATTCCATAATTTTCCAGCTTATCAAAGAGGATGTTTGGGTTCACACAGTCAAAAGCTTTCTGGAGATCCAAAAATACCCCAAAGTTGTAGTTGTTCTTTTCTAATGCCTCAATAATAATCTCAAGGAAATCGGAAATTGCCGTTTATTGTTGATTTACCTTCACAAAAACCGTGCTAACTTTTGTTGATAATATTTTTCTTTTCAAAAAAACTTAAAAATCTTCTGTGAATAATTTTTTCAAAAATTTATGGTATAGTTAGCCTAAATCTCGATTTCCCTATATATCTCAAGGTTTAAGCTCAGTCCGCAGCAACCAAGTACGCCTACAATGGACTCATCATCGTCCACCTCGAGATATCGAATTTGGACTATGAACATTTGGTCTTTATTATTAAATTTTTGCTTGGTCACGAGATGGCACTTACCTCGTTCCATAGTCCAAATCCGGTTGAACACAATTTGCTGTGCCAGGGTATAGCCCCTCCAATCAGCATAACTCCGCCACCAGGTATTCTCTCACGGTACCTACCTTCTCGTTGCTGTGGGAGGGTATGTCCCCTCCAAGCAGCCGAGCTTCACCGTGAGGATTCCCTCAAGGTACCTACCTTCTAAACCAACCCATCGAAGAGTTATAACTTATCAAGAGTTATCAAGAGAGTTATCAAGAGTTATAACTTGGGCAGAACAAACTATACTAACATGGGGTTGATTAGTATGCCTAACAACCCCGAGCTTCTACTTACTGACACTATCCATCTCGGGCCTAAGACTGACTTACTATAAGCACAACTTATTGAGTCACGCTTATGCTTAACACCACGGTATAGCCACGACGGTACCTACCTTATGAGCTGTCCGATGTCCAACATCCACTGGTAGTGTCCAAATGAACCTGCTTATATAGGACCTTCCAGTGGAAGGGCGTGTAGGGGCGAGGTAGGCTCGGCAGCCCAGTTGTGTTGCCTCACGACCTTTGCCCTAACAGCTGATAAGCTCAGCCGCTACCTCAATGTTTACTTCTTACTCTGTATTTCTGTCTCTCTTTCTAAGACTGATGGCATTGCCACTCAAACAATTCAACTAAACTTCCATTGATATGTACCAATAATACCAGAATAATTTGAATAAATAATAATCCTAACTCTAACTAAACAATTGGGTTTATGGCCTTAGGAATAATTAAAAACAAGAAACTAAATAAAACGTTTATTCTAAAAAAAAAACAAAAAAAAAAACTAACTTCTTTACAAAAATAAATATCTCCTCTTATAAACAAAATAAACTGAAAGGGAAAAATAACCCTTAAAATATGGTGTACATTGTTGTTCAAAGGTTTATTGTGGACATTTTTCATCATGATGGTAAGAAACAATACACAACTTTTTGAGATCTGGAATCTGATCCCGTCCTCAGGTGAAAAAACTGTACTAACACATTAGCCACAGTGGTCTGAACTCAACCGTTGTCTCCGTGTTTCGGATTGGTCGACCATGATGCTTCAGTCTCATTGGTGGAGTCATTGCGAACTGTGCGATTAGTATTCCATTGTGCGAGCTGTTTACCCTACACATTTTATAAGCTATAACGTTTTGTGATTGGTTATTATTTACATGTTATTGTATCATGACTTGACTGCTATACAGTGGATATTTTTTGACTGCAGTGTTTTGACTGTAGTGTATTCCAACTTAGGTCTGGCGTTTGTGTATTGTTAGGTGTAATGTGTTAGTTAAGTTTTTCACCTGAGGACGGCAGATCATATTCCAGATCCCGAAACATGTGTATTGTTTTTTACCATCGTGATGGAAAATGTCCGCAATAAACCTTTGAACAACATTAACTCACCATCACCAACAATGATCTTTAAGGAATGGTGTACAACTTTAGCGATACAAGGGTGCTTGCAGTGGGGAATATAAATCATTATCTTAAATTTTTACTTGTCTTAAAGGTTCGGAAATGACCCTAAAATGCAAAAAATTTATATTTTAAACCATTAAAATGATAGGTGAGGTATTTTTAACATTAGGTATAAGGAACATTCCCTTTAGAAAGGAATTACGACCTTAAAGGGCAATTTATGAAATAATGGATGGTTTTGCGAAAGGATTTTTGTCATGGCAAACATTTTAAGTATATGGTTCATGGGGGTGTGACTTTAAGTTTTCTCAAAAGTTCATGGGTACTTTAGGATTTATATATGGATACAACACACTTTGTAAAAGCCAGTTTTCTTTTCATAAATTGATTGTGATGAGGGCAAATAATTACTTTAAGGTGTAAAGCAAAATTAGTGATTTCATTTTAACCATGTAAGTCTCATTACAAATAATGTGGTGAAATATTGAAAGACTTGTATTGACTTGTACTGAAGTACTGAAGAAGACTTGTGCTGAAAATCAGGAAAATTTTACTTGTTCAGATCACTTAATTCAATTTTGTGCACTAATATAGGGTACGACAAAAAACCGATCTATTTTTTGCAGCCCACTGTTCATCGACAGGTCGTCAGAGGGTGGTGGCTCGTTGGAAAGCCTGTACGATGCCATTATCTGTAGTCATAGAGCAGTGGTCATCTGAGCAACACACGTTTGTTATCGAGTCTTTAAAAAAAGTAATGATTCAGTCATTGCAACTCAGCAGCATTTCCATCCATTCTTTAAATTAGGTTGACATGGAGAGGTTATGGTGATATTATCTGTATGAATAATAAACAAAATTTTACAGAATAATAAACATTAATCTATAGGGACAAGAATTAAAATCAAACCTCAAAATTAGTGTGACCGAGCAGTCAGACATGTTCAAAGCAGATGTTTGTTTTCAAGCGGGCCCAAGAGGACTGTTTTCCACAGCAGCACGGACTCTATCAAATATTAGTTGTCTGACACCCGATCTTACTTTAGATGGCTTGTCAGTTTCTTTTTGAATGCAGAAGCCATTGTTCTAAAGTTGGTAACCCACCATATGATTGTACAACTTAATGGAACCGACGTTCGTTGCCCTAATTTAAAAATAATGCACATAACTGCCGCTTGCAATGACTGAATCAAAAATTTTTAAATTAGGCTCGCTAACAAATGCTGATGCTCAGGTGACCACCACTCTATGGCCACAGATAATGTAATGGTGTAGGCATTCCAACGAGCCTAAAACCACCACTCTCAGACGACCTGTTAATGATTAGTGTGCTACATAAAATAGATCGATTTTTTTGACGCACCCTGTATAGTTTTAGATCAATATAATTTTCATCAACTAGTAGGGCTTGTTAAAATACTGTGTAATCATTATTACACCTAAATTATTTGTTAATATAGTATGATCTTTTTCAGAAGTATCGATAGATGAGCCCAGTATTCATGTAACTGCAAGACATTTAACAAGTCCTACAAAAAAAGGAAATTCACAAATAGAGGTACTAGGCTTATTGATTAGTTGACCCTTCTGATTATCATGGTATAAGATTATCTAATAAGTTTTACAAGAACAGAAAGGGAAAGGTTACAAATGTTAAAACAAACTGAAAAGGATAAGTGTCCAATATGTGGAAAAGTTATTTCAGTTCAAAGAAATATGAAGTATCATATATTCTATCACACGGGCGAGCGCCCCTACAAATGTTTGACATGTGACAAAACCTTCATCCACCAATATCAAGTAAAGAGTCATGTGTTGACACACTCAGGAAAACGTCCTTATAAGTGCAGTTTATGTGGAAAAGGCTTTGTATTAAAAAAAAATTTGAAGTTACATATAATGTCGATTCATACAGAAAAGAAGCGATATAAGTGCACTACATGCGGAAAATCCTTTGTATTTAAATGCAATTTGAAGTCACATTTACGGGTTCATACAGAAGAAAGACCTTATAAGTGCACTATATGTGGAATAACCTTTAAATACAAAAGATATTTGAATTCACATACACGGTTCCATACAGCAAAAAAACCTAGACCTTATAAGTGCTCTACATGTGGAAAATCCTTTTTATGCAAAAGCCATTTGGAGTCACATACAATGGTTCATACAGGAGAGAGACCTTATAACTGCACTACTTGTGGAAAATCCTTTTCATTCCAAAACTATTTGATCTTACATTCACGGATTCATACCAAAGAGAGACCTTATAAGTGCACTACTTGTGGAAAATCCTTTACATCCCCAGGCGGTTTGAGGTCACATACACGGGTCCATTCAGAAGAGAGACCTTATAAGTGCACTAATTGTGAAAAGTCCTTTCCATCCAAAGACCTTTTGAAGAAACACACACAAGTCCATACAGGAGTGAGACCTTATAAATGCACTAAATGTGAAAAATCCTTTACAACCAGAAGAAATTTGAATTGTCATACACGGGTCCATACAGGAGAAGGACCTTATGAGTGCTCTAAATGTGAAAAATTCTTTGTACACAAACACAATTTGAAGACACATACTCGGGTTCATGAAGAAGAGAAACATTATATTTGTACTACATGTGGAAAGTCATTTCATCACAAAATAGGTTTGAACTCACATATACTGACTCATACAGGAGATAAACCTCACAAGTGTTCTACTTGTGGAAAGTCCTTTTCAACCCAAAGCAGTTTGAAGTCGCATACAAAGGTCCATACAGAAGAAAGATCTTTTATATGCAGTATTTGTGGAAAATCCTTTACATGCAAAAGCTATTTGAAGTCACATACATGGGTCCACATAAAAGAGAAACCTTATAAATGCACTACATGTGGAAAATCCTTTGCATCAAAAAGCATTTTGACGAAACATACACGGGTTCATACATGAATGAAACCTTTCAATAGCAAACTATGTGTGGAAACTCTTATACACCCTAAAGAAATTATAACAGACATGTTTTAATTTATAGCAATAAACTTTGTTACAAGTGTGAACAATCTTTTCCTTTCAAAATATACAAAATGACTCCCAAAACTTTATTTAAGATTATACTTTTCAGTTGCGTGACCAAATCCAAATTCTATTCATATTTCTTATATTAATACGTGAGGGCTGGTTTTGTGAACAAAACTCCTCAGTTATTTCTAACCGATTTTACCGTTTGAGGTGTCAAATAATTCGTCTCACTTTGGCTAACTATTGTTGTTTTATTTCTGGTGGAGTGGGCCTCAAATCACCATCCAGCCGAGGGCCTCCAATCGAGCCAGACCGGGCCTGACAACGTACACTGCAATTAATTATCCTACTGTTAACATGAAAATTTATTTTTGAAAAATATTTTTGCTCGATTACGTCCAGGGCTGGATTTAGTATTTTGGCGCCCCTAGGCAAAACAATTTTTTACACCCCCTAGGTGGTTAAAGTTACCTTCCTACAAACCTTTATTAAAAAACTACATCAGGCTTATTTTATGTCAATTGCTTAAACACCATTTTGCTATGCAATTTAATCAATGAAATGTTTTTTTTAACACTTTACTTGGTTCTGTCTTTTAAGCCTTCTTAAACACTTTTAGCAATTTTATAGCTCACGTTTTGTGGGACTGAAACAAAACAAACTAACTCGCAGAGCATTCCTGCAACAAAGCGAGGCCACAGTGGCTTCAAAATTCTGGCCAAAAATATTAACTCTGTACAGTACGTGATATTGTAGATTAACATATCTACTCCCTTGGTAAATGATCAGCTAAAGACAATTCTTGTTGAGCGGAGCGAGCGAAGCGAGCGAAGCTCTTATACTACACTCCTGCTTTTTTATTACAAATACTCCTCCTGAACGGCTGAAGCGATCTGCATGAAATTTAACACAGTCATAGTAACCAACCATGGGAAGGTATAAATCTGAAACGGTACAAATCGGACCATAGGACTTTTCCCTACATGAATGCAAACTTTTGGAAATTTAACATGGGCCTTATGGGTTAATTGGTCGCCATGTCATTATTTGCGAGTAAACACTAAAAAGTAAACAAGAGCCTCAACATTAGTCAACAAATCTACCACATGATAAATACAGTAGGCCTACAAAAGAAAAAATTGGATAATACTAAAGAGCATATTATAGTATATTGTATGTAATACGAAATGATTAACAATCAGTTCTATATTGAGTGATTAAACTCCATGCCGTTTATATTTAATTGTAAAATGGTTCTGTTCTTTTTAACAACAATGAATAGTTAACTAATTAGGCCTAAGTTTATGTTGCTTGGAGAAGGAGAAGATAAAACGAGGTCATTAAAAAAACACTACAACATAATTATACCAACAAAAATCACACCGCCCTTGATTTGCAAGAAACTTTGTAAAAAATGTTCTTGTAGCTAAAAATACAAAATCGTTTTACGAAATGAAATCACAACCACGTGGTTTACAGGTAAGGTTTAAGACTAAATGGTGTAACTTAGACAATAAAATAGTTGTATTGATAAATTTTATTGCACAATAGGGAAATTTTGAAAGTGGTTGACGACAATTTCTTACTTTTAACTGCTAAAATAAAACTAGACCTAAGTTATAGGCCTATACTAAGTGAGGCTAACCCCAATCCCTCACAACAATAATACTGGTAAACAGTTATTGAGGTAATTGAATTGGTGAGTTTTATGAATGTTCAATGCAAATAAGTCTTCTGTACAAATAAATGATTCTTTTTTTTATAATAAAGAAAGAAGACATTGAAAAAAAATAAAAAAAGCAAATTCTACATACAATGGGTAATAATAATATAATAATAATCGTTATTGCCTTTTAATAATACAGGTATTGCTTAGGCCTACCATGATTCATTTGCAGTATCGAAATTATTGAGCGGAGTGAAGCGAAGCTCTTATACTACACTCACTGCCTTTGTTTTACAAATACAGGTCAGGCTCCACCTGACAGGCTTAAGCGATCTGCAGGAAATTTGGCACAGTCATGTAACCAACCATATGGGAAGGTATAAATCTGAAATGGTAATATTCGGACCACAGGACTTAAACCAATAATAAGGGTTGCCGGAATTAGGCTGATGCACCATATTGCGTTTGGAATCTGTAAATAACTTACAGCATTGTATGTGAGCAAGACGTGCAATTAATGTAGACTTTGAATATCTATCTGATTGGAACATGTTCAATTCCTATTTGCAGTCTACAAATAGGAATTCCACTAATGTGAACCAAATATAACACAATTCGTTGACTTGAACCCGACGTATCATTGACTTTGAATACTGCACATAGACATCCCATATAAGTGAAGCAGAAGTAGGCCTAAGCCTACCATTGACTTCGGATACTGCAATTAGGCATTTTATTTATGTGAACAAAATAAATGGACCATTGATTTATTGAGGATACTGCAAGTAGACTATTCATTTACATGTACCATTGGGTTTGGATACTACAAGTAAACAATCCGTCTACGTGAACCATACGTACTATTGACTTTAGAATCTGTAAATAGGCATTCCATTTATGCGAACCAAATATATCATTGGCATTGGATACTGCAAGTAGACATTTAATTTATGAGAACCAGATGAAACATAGAATACGGTTCCTGCAAGTAGACGATTCATTCACTTAATCCTGACTTATGATTGACTTTGGATACCTCTGCAAATAGGCATTCTATTTAAAATGCAAAAAAATCATTGATATTGAATATGCTGGCTCCGCTCAATATTGCAAGCAGACAACTGCATTGTACACCTAGTTATTTAAAACCTCATTTAACCAACCAGATAAAACGATCTAATAAACATTGGCTCGTCCCCTTAAAAGAAATTAAAAAACATAGGCTAATCAAATTAACCCAAAAATAACAGAAACAAAATTATGTTGATACCAGATTGCCCAGTTTCACCAACATGAACTAGACATTAAAAATAATCTTTAGATTTTTGTGATGTGAAGTCTACTCGTGTTGGTTCGTCTAAGGTGATGCTGCATTTAGATTGTATTTGCAAAGCAAAACAAAATAATATATTTCAGCAAACCATACCAATCCTCAGGCTTGAGGATGGAATGAGAATTAAAACGGCGCTTTGGAGGGTATTGCATTTTTCTAGAACCTATTGCAAATTTAGATTAATATTTTTGTCTTTAATTTTAAAGACAAACTCATTGTTTTTTTTTTAACATTCAACCCAATGTAATGTATGTTTTAACTTGATCCTCAAGGTGGAAAGCTAATCAAAAGATTGGTTAGTAGTAACTTTAGTTAGCGAGGTGAGGGTAGTAACTATGTCTCGACAATAACATTGGCATGCCCATGCACCCCTAATCACTCCAAGCAGGAACAGAAGCACCCTGCACCAAGCCAGACATAGTGGCTGTGGTGATGGCAATATGAGGCGTACCACTCAACAACATCTCTACAACATTCTCTCGTGTTTTTTAAGACCAATGTTGTAACAAAGTTGATTCGTAGGCCTAATGTTGAAAAATAGTTTAACGTTACAATCAATTAATTGGTTCAACGAACTTCAAAATCAAAATGCTATAATAGCCAAATTTTCAAAATCAATTTGCAAAACCCTGTATGTTAAGATATAGCTATTTATTTATATTCATAGAGATTTCAAAACAAATTTCTCTTGGCCCGGCGCCCCCTGGGAGAAATAGGTCTACCGAGCCTATTGGGAAATCCAGCCCTGATTACGCCTCCAGCTGTTGAAAAAAGACTCTCAGACTTCACATTCTACAAGCTCGCAATGATGATTTTAAGCCCAAAACATATTTGTCAAAATGAAGTATTTGCAATGGTTTTTTTCTGATTTTAAAATCAATTTTCTTCTGCATCGTGTCATGTTTTGCAATATAATGTTCTATTGCCAAATCAGTGGAAAATCCTAATTCACAGTAACTCTTAAAATTATTTCTTATGGAGTTAACTTTATGTCTATTGTATGGGTTGGTTTCTGCCTTTTTTTACCACTTCTTGGAGATGGTACGTAGGCGTGTTGCACGTAGATAATATTCTTTGGCGTATTGCATCTGTAGACGATACTTGGGTTGGTGTAATTATTACAATGAAAAAAAGTGAGAAATCCTGGACAATTTGATATAGGCCTACTAAAAATAAAACTGAGTTAACACTGTGCTACATTTCTTGAGCAATCATTGAAAGAGCCAATTTGCAAACAATGGAAACATAAGAAAAGAACACAACCAAGTAGAAGAAATAGAAATAATGTTTTTTTTTTCTTCATTTATAATCGTTATTATAGAGAACCTATGAGTGGGAATCATTTGTAGAAAACTCTAAAAACCAAGATCAGCTTTAAAAAAATATATTTACAAACAGTTTTGATTATATCTAACTGTTGTGTACATCGTGAGTATTTCCATAATCTTTGAATCGACTTTTATAAAGTCATCGGAAATTATGACTGTTATTCGTTTTAAAATAACGCCTGTAATGCTTTGCAATTGCTCGAATTCGAGCAACAGGTACACTAGTAAATATTATATTGGTGTATTTGTTTGATTTTAACAAAATTTTCCCCCTAAAACACTTTTTATACAACATTTTGCTAGCTTACATACAATGAAGATTTATCTACAAACTTAAATTATTACAGGTCACAAGGTGCAAGGCATGATATGACTAAGAGCTATTAATACTACGTCTGATGCCTTACAAAGCTTATGACAGGTAAATACTATTGTTGTATTTTTACTTATTACCATGTAGGACATCGGGTTTTTATTAATATTTTTTGCGTGTCAGAAAGTTAGGTCTCATTAAAGGGCTAAGTTCTAAGGAGTGTAAGATCTCTGGCTAGGAGATCAATAGTTTAAATCCTGTCATTGTTAGGCCTCGCTTTAAGGTTTAATGGAAAGAAACTTAGATCCCATTGTTTCTGTTGTTTTTTTGAGGTAAAACACAGGTGTTTGTGGGTATTCCTAGTTATTTATGTATAATATGAATTTAGATTTTCTTAACAGCTACCGGTATCATTAGTCCCAGATATTGTGAGGGATTTTTACCCTTAACTATAAGAAAAACTTAACTAACACTACACAAACACCAGACCTAAGTTGAAATACTCTACAGTCAAAACACTGCAAAAAATATGCACCGTATAGCAGTCACATTTGAGATTCGTTGAAAAACCTATACGATTCCATTATCTGTAGTCATAGAGCAATGGTCATCTGAGCAACATGTGTCTGTTATCGAGTCTTTTTAAAAAGTAATGATTCAGTCATTGCAACTCAGCAGCATTTCCTTGCATTCTTTAAATTAGGGTTACATAGAGAGGTTAGGGTGATATTATCTGTATGAATAATAAACAAAATTGAATATTAAACATTAATCTATAGGGACAAGAGTTAAAATCAAACCTCAAAATTAGTTTGACCGAGCAGTCAGAATGTTCAAAGCAGATGTTTGTTTTCAAGCGGGCCCAAGAGGACTGTTTTCCACAGCAGCACGGACTCTATCAAATGTTAGTTGTCTGACACCCGATCTGACTTTGGATAGCTTGTCAGTTTCTTTTTGAATGCAGAAGCCATTGTTCTAAAGTTGGTAACCCACCACATGATTGTACAACTTATTGGAATTAACGTTGCCCTAATTTAAAAATAATATGCCTAACTGCCGCTTGCAATGACGGAATCATAACTTATTACATTTGGCCAGCTAACAAATGCACGATGCTCAGGTGACCACCGCTCTATGACCACAGATAAAGTCATCGTGTAGGCATTCCAATGAGCCTAAAACCACCACTCTAAGACGACCTGTTAATGATCCGTTAATGTGACCGTGTTTTCGGTGGAGTGTACGGAATATCTCAATCGGTGCCCAAAATAAGTCAGCCTGCACGGGTTTCCGAACTTCCAGGGGTCAAGCGAGGTCTTTACCTAAACACGGTCGCAATGGTTTCCAAAACGATGAAGCGACGAGCTAGTGTCGAGGGGTCGTGCCTCGATCGCTAGTAACGAATAACGGCGAATACGGTCGGTCAAGTGACCCGGGGTGTCAGGGTAGCGGCCCTGGTTCCCAAAACGATGAAATGACGAGCTAGTGTCGAGGGGTCGTGCCTCGACCGCTAGTAACGAATAACGGCGAATACGGTCGGTCAAGTGACCCGGGGTGGCAGGGTAACGGCCCTGGTTCCCAAAACGAAGAAACGAGGAACGCCGAATACGGTCGGTCAAGTGACCCGGGGTGTCAGGGTAACGGCCCTGGTTCCCAAAACGAAGAATCGAAGTACGGCGAATACGGTCGGTCAAGTGACCCGGGGTGTCAGGGTAGCGGCCCTGGTTCCCAAAACGAAGAATCGGAGAACGGCGAATACGGTCGGTCAAGTGACCCGGGGTGTCAGGGTAACGGCCCTGGTTCCCAAAACGAAGAATCGAAGAACGGCGAATACGGTCGGTCAAGTGACCCGGGGTGTCAAGGTAACGGTTCTGGTTCCCAAAACGAAGAATCGAAGAACGGCGAATACGGTCGGTCAAGTGACCCGGGGTGTCAGGGTAGCGGCCCTGGTTCCCAAAACGAAGAAACGAGGAACGGCGAATACGGTCGGTCAAGTGACCCGGGGTGTCAGGGTAGTGGCCCTGGTTCCCAAAACGATGAAACAGCGAGCTAGCGTCGAGGGATCGTACCTAGATCGCTAGTAACGAAGGACGGCAAATACGGTCGGTCAAGTGACCCGGGGTGTCAGGGTAACGGCCCTGGTTCCCAAAACTATGAAAGTCGACCAAGTAACTCGGGGTGTCAGAGTATCGGCCCTGGTTCCCAAAGCGATGAAGCGACGAAAAACGTATATGGTCGGTCAAGTGACCCGGGGTGGCAGGGTAACGGCCCTGGTTCCCAAAACTATGAAAGTCGATCAAGTAACTCGGGGTGTCAGAGTATCGGCCCTGGTTCCCAAAACGATGAAGCGACGAATAACGTATACGGTCGGTCAAGCGACCCGGGGGTGGCAGGGTAACGGCCCTGGTTCCCAAAACTATGAAAGTCGATCAAGTAACTCGGGGTGTCAGGGTAGCGACCCTGGTTCCCAAAACTATGAAAGTCGATCAAGTAACTCGGGGTGTCAGGGTAGCGACCCTGGTTCCCAAAACTATGAAAGTCGATCAAGTAACTCGGGGTGTCAGGGTAGCGACCCTGGTTCCCAATACGATTAAAGCTGACTAAGCGACGCTGGGTGTCAGGGGAGCGACCCTGGTTCCCAATACGATTAAAGCTTAAAGGGCTAACCTCTAGTGATAGTGGCTCTATGACTAGCTACAAATAAAATCGATGAAGTCACCCTGGGTGTCAGAGGAGCGACCCTGGTTCCCAGAATAACTTAAAACTGCAAATAACCTCTATGCAAAACTAAAATGCAAATAAAAGTATACTCTCCTATTAATTAACGAAAACGAAATAATCCTTAAAGCAACGATCGAATGTCGCCGTCCAAACGAAGGTATGAGCAGTAAAGCGTAGCTACAGTGTTACTAACGTCTAACTAAAAGGTATACTGCACTCACCGGGGAGGATGTGACTAACTCGGCTGGTAGCTGGGACGAGACTGAGCAACTGAGCTCTCCGTTGCCGCTCGCTCTTGCCTTCCCCCACCCCGCTCGTGGCCCGACACTAGCGCCTGGCGCGGCAGCGGCCGTTCCGAGAATCTTCCGGGATGAGGAGGGGTCAACGTTTGCTCAGCCCAGTACTTTTCCACTCCGTTCATTACTACTTTCATTATTCAAAACAAATAAAACGATCTTCTCTCCTTGTTTAATACGCATTTATTTTGTATAAGGTCAAAATTTTGAGGTGTCAATTTTTGACCGTTACACACTCCTCTGTTTTCGTAAAAAAAAAACCAGTAAAAAAAAAGACGTATACTTGCTGTAACTCAACAGAAATCTTATCTTCTTACGAAAGTTCCCTCTCCATGGGCAAACGTAACCTTTTATATTTTCCATTTTTTTTGTATTTTCTATTTTATTTTTTTTTGTCCCTTTTTTTTGGGATATAGGTTGGCTCTCAAAGCCTTTCAGGGATATCTTTCCCAAGCATTGAACCCGTCTTCTTTGGTTCTCAAAATAAATTCTCTTCGATAACAGTTAAAATAAATAACAACCCCCTGGGGTATAAAATAAAACAAAACTTTCTTCTTCGTCCGAGTGTCTCTAGTCCGTCTTGGTGATCAGCCAAACGGCTTTTATCAGTTATTAGTCCCTGCGAACAAAGGGCTTGAGGTCCTTTGCATGTACTGTCCCCGCCGGCCTCCCTTTGACATCCACCAGAGAGTAAATATTTGCTCCTGACATGCCGATAATCCGGAACGGGCCATCGAATTTAGGGGCTAGCTTCGCCGCAAAATGATCTTTGGCCGAAGAGAGGTGATGTTGACGCTTCAAGATCCAGTCCCCGACCTTAAAGGTTGACTCCCTCCTGCGTAGGTTGTAGTATTTTGATTGTTTATCATATGCCTTCTTCAAATTCCTACGACACTGATCCATGATTTGTCGTTGTCTCGTCATCCTCGCATCTTGGAAGGCCTGTGTGCTGGACCCCTCGTCTCGTTCGGTTGAAACTCGTACCGGTCCGTGGAGAGCCTTCGGAAGTCGCAGTTCCCGTCCAAAATTTAAGATCGCTGGGGTAAAACCAGTCGAATCGTGCTCTGCGGTATTTATGCTATATCTGAAATCCGACAAGTATTGGTCCCAGTTCCGCTGATCAGTCCCAACGTACTGGCGTATCATCGTCTTCAAAACTCGGTTCGTACGCTCTACTGGGTTAGCCTGAGGACTGTATGGGGGAGTGAAAACCTGCCTTATGTCCCAGTCTGACAACAGTCTTTGCCACATCTTGCCGGAAAACTGCGTTCCGTTGTCTGTTATTACTGATTCAGGGGAGCCGTAACGCAGTAGGATCAATTCCCGAAATCGTTCGGTCACTTGTTTGGCTGTGGCAGACTTTAAAGGAGCCAGTTCCACCCACTTGGTATAGGTGTCTTGAGCTACGAGAAGGAAACGGTTTCCTGCCTTGGATCGGGGAAGTGGTCCGATCAAATCGGCCGTAACCATATACCATGGTCCTTTCGGCTCCCGGAAATACATCTTTCCTACTGCCTGGCGCTGCTCTACTTTGTGAGCCTGGCATGTCGGACAGCTCTGGACATACTTTTTGACAAACGTCCCGAGTCCAGGAAAGTAATACCTCTCTTTCAGGCGAGCGATAGTTTTCCGGATTCCCAAGTGTCCAGCGGTAGTGGCGTCATGAATTTCTTGGAGTACGTCTCGTCTCAGCCGTGGAGGGACGCACATTTTCCAATGGGTGGCGGGATCGGTGCATTTTCCTTTGCCGACAATTCTCTTGAAGAGTTTTCCTCCGTCAATCTGATATTCGGGAAACTTGTCCGGGTTTCGCTCTACCCTCCTACACACTCGTTCGTGCCAATTCGATTTCGTAACTCCGGGCTCATCTTCGGTTATCGGTTCACTGACTTCACCAACACTTTCTATGGGCACGGCTACGTCACCACTGTCCGTTTCCATGGACTCGCTCTGAGGCACCGGGTGTCTTGAGAGTGCGTCTGCCACTTTATTCAAAATCCCCTTGCGGTACTTAATGTCGAATTTGTGCTGCTGGAGTTCCAATACCCATCTCGCCAGCCTTCCCGAGGGGTTCTCCAGAGACATCAACCA